AAGAGCCCATTATATGCTTGAGGGGGAGAAGATATATTAAGAACAATAAAGGCCCCAAGACCGAACCCTGAGGGAGACCACAAGTAAGGGAGGTAGAGGATGACCTAAAATCGGAGATCACCACAGAAAAAGATCGGTGATGTAGATATGAGGAGAACCACTCCAAAGCAGTACCCGATACACCAACCCAATGTTTAAGCCTTTCAAGGAGGCTGCGGTTGTCAGCAGTGTCAAAAGCCGATGTTAGGTCCAACATAAGTAGGACTGAGCATTTTCCTGCATCATTACTCATCAGAATGTCACTTGAGACCCTAAGAAGGGCTGTTTCTGTGGAGTGAGCTCTGCGAAAGCCAGACTGAACCTTATCACAAATGCTATGTTTTTCCAGAGCTGCTATAAGTTGCTTAGCCACAACCTTTTCTAGAAGCTTAGCAATTAACAGTAATTTAGAGATAGGTCTGTAGCTGCTCCAAAGAGAGGGGTCTAGCTGAGGTTTTTTTAAAAGTGGGAGAATAGCAGCATTTTTAAGATAAACTGGAACTATGCCAGACGCCAGTGAAGAGTTGATTAGAGTGAGCACAGATGGACCAATTACCTGGAAGACATTTTTGAATGATGATGCAGGAACAATGTCAAGTGGACAAGAGGATGTTTTTACTGAATTCGCTAGTTTTACCAGCTCAGGTAGTGAAACGGGAGAGAAAGTATCCAAAATGACGTGCCAAGATGGGGTTGAGATCGACATAACAGGTGCTGCATGAGAAAAATTTATTCTTACATTCTTCATCTTTGCAAGCAGAAAAGAAAGAAAACTGTCACAGTCGTCCTCATTAGATGAAATAGGGGCTGCAGGAAGAGCAGGAGTAACAATGTCACTAATTGTGTTGAATAGCACCTTAGGATTACCTCTGCTCTTTGTAACTAAGTGTGAGAAATAGGCAGCCCTCGCATCTCTGATAGCATTATTAAAAGAAGCTAAAAGGTCCTTTAGGTAGAGGAGATGAACATTTAGATGGGTTTTTCTCCACCTGCGCTCCGCTTTACGACAATCATGTTTTAGACCGCAAATACTGTCATTTAGCCAAGGTAGAGATTTGCAAGCAGAAACTCTCGTTTTAACCGGACAAATTTCATCTAAAATAGAAAGGCAATAATTATTCAAAAGATTGGTTGAATAATCAACGTCATTATGAGGAGATAGTAGGTTAAAAGCATCTGCAAATTTCTTAGCTGTGGAGAAGTCTAAGATACGAGAGCTAAGTATCCGTTGAACAGGGGACAAAAGCTCATTAAAAGACATGTTAAAAACAATAACATGGTGATCACAAATAAAAATGTCCTCAGAGTAAATAAAATCAATAGTTATACCCAAAGTAAAAACAAGGTCCAGTGTCCAGCTGTCACACTTCTAACATACCGCCAGGTTAAAGACCAGCTAATGCCTGATTCAACTGAGCTGGACATTGTGTTCTCATTGGCAACTCTCTAGAGCATTGTCTCCAAATGTTAATGGCCACATGTGTGAAAACAGCTTAGTGCCTGTCCCCTCTAACCCGATTGAGGATTTAGTCAGTTATAGCTACGGATCAAAAGAAAGAAGTGAACTTTTTAAAAACACAAGTACGCTAGAAGCAGACAGGTGGTATTCAGTGGGCTAAAAGCCAAACACACAGCTTTGGAGTGTGTCTCTGCTGAGCTGAACAACAGAACCACAAACCACCACAAACTGCAATACTCCTACATACCTGCAGGAAAATCACTTCACATCAGAGCTAGAAAGTGGAAACTATATATCTTCTTATCTCTTATCTCTGTATCTTGTTCATCTCTGCCTGTCTGTTTTACCCTCTCAGAGCAATTTGGGAGGATCCTCGTGGACACAGTAGGAACAAATAAGATGAAGAGCTGGGCCAAAGTCAACAGAGGAGCCATGGTGCTCTGCAGGTCGGTGAACAAACACATTTCTATCACTTCAGAGGATGTTTCTTGAGGGTTGTATAACAACTGAAGTTCAGCTCAGATAGTCTTTTTATTAACTGGCTGGACAAAAACTCAAACCCCAGTCAGGGATGAAGGGTATCATAATGTCAAATGTCACATGACTCTTCTTTAGCACAAAATAACCTCTGCGTGCTGCCTACTTCTATCCTAGATATTATCAGATGATGATAAAACGGTGATTAAAAATCTATCAAGAGCATAAGAATCTAACAGTAAGAGCAGATACAGTGGAGCAAAAAAGTATTTAGTCAGCCACCGATTGTGCAAGTTCCCCCACTTAAAATGATGACAGAGGTCAGTAATTTGCACCAGAGGTACACTTCAACTGTGAGAGACAGAATGTGAAAAAAAAATCCATGAATCACATGGTAGGATTTGTAAAGAATTTATTCGTAAATTAGGGTGGAAAATAAGTATTTGGTCACCTCAAACAAGGAAAATCTCTGGCTCTCACAGACCTGTAACGTCTTCTGTAAGAAGCTTTTCTGTCCCCCACTCGTTACCTGTATGAATGGCACCTGTTTGAACTCATCATCTGTATAAAAGACACCTGTCCACAGCCTCAAACAGTCAGACTCCAAACTCCGCCATGGCCAAGACCAAAGAGCTTTCGAAGGACACCAGGAAAAGTATTGTAGACCTGCACCAGACTGGGAAGAGTGAATCTACAATAGGCAAGCAGCTTGGTGTGAAAAAATCAACTGTGGGAGCAATCATCAGAAAATGGAAGACATACAAGACCACTGATAATCTCCCTCGATCTGGGGCTCCACGCAAGATCTCATCCCGTGGGGTCAAAATGATCATGAGAACGGTGAGCAAAGATCCCAGAACCACACGGGGGGACCTGGTGAATGACCTGCAGAGAGCTGGGACCAAAGTAACAAAGGTCACCATCAGTAACACACTACAACGGCAGGGAATCAAATCCCGCAGTGCCAGACGTGTTCCGCTGCTGAAGCCAGTGCATGTCCAGGCCCGTCTGAAGTTTGCCAGAGAGCACATGGATGATACAGCAGAGGATTGGGAGAATGTCATGTGGTCAGATGAAACCAAAGTAGAACTTTTTGGTATAAACTCAACTCGTCGTGTTTGGAGGAAGAAGAATACTGAGTTGCATCCCAAGAACACCATACCTACTGTGAAGCATGGGGGTGGAAACATCATGCTATGGGGCTGTTTTTCTGCCAAGGGGACAGGACGACTGATCCGTGTTAAGGACAGAATGAATGGGGCCATGTATCGTGAGATTTTGAGCCAAAACCTCCTTCCATCAGTGAGAACTTTGAAGATGAAACGAGGCTGGGTCTTCCAACATGACAATGATCCAAAACACACCGCCCGGGCAACAAAGGAGTGGCTCCGTAAGAAGCATTTGAAAGTCCTGGAGTGGCCTAGCCAGTCTCCAGACCTCAACCCCATAGAAAATCTGTGGCGGGAGTTGAAAGTCCGTGTTGCTCGGCGACAGCCCCAAAACATCACTGCTCTCGAGAAGATCTGCATGGAGGAATGGGCCAAAATACCAGCTACTGTGTGTGCAAACCTGGTAAAGACCTATAGTAAACGTTTGACCTCTGTTATTGCCAACAAAGGTTATGTTACAAAGTATTGAGTTGTATTTTTGTTATTGACCAAATACTTATTTTCCACCCTGATTTACGAATAAATTCTTTACAAATCCTACCATGTGGATTCATGGATTTTTTTTTCACATTCTGTCTCTCACAGTTGAAGTGTACCTCTGGTGCAAATTACTGACCTCTGTCATCATTTTAGGTGGGGGAACTTGCACAATCGGTGGCTGACTAAATACTTTTTTGCCCCACTGTAATCGATACTGATTTCAAAACATGCTCAAAGAACATGTGAAAACATGGCACTTCCAGCTGATTTTAAACTGAAGATAACCATGTGTTTGTTCTAAGGACCAACAGGGGGCGACTCTGGTATCACAAAGAAACAGTTTGCCCTCTTTTTTTGTAAATTAAAGTTTTGGGGGGCGGGGTTTCTTTGCAGTTTGCTGAACAGCTGTGACAAGTCTGTGGCTGCGGAGGTGAAGGCGGCGCTGGAGTCCATCAGGTCGGAGCTTAGCAGCATCAGCAATAACAAAGGCGTGGAAATCCTGCTGGAGAATCTGAACAAGTAGACCTGTTTCTTCCAAACAAACTGCTGATGTTTAACCCATCGCTGCCTCTGTGGCACCAACACCTGCATGACTGAGTGATTGAAGCAGCAAATGGGAACATTTTTCAGGAAGTGGATACAACCTGACACACTGCTGTGTAATTACAGTGGATGGGAATTTGTTTGGAATCTGGGAAATTAGGAAAAGTGTTTGGAAAAATGGTCACCACTACAAGAAAACAGATTACAAACATGGAAGAACAGCTGGCAGTTCAAAAGTCAACGGACAACACACATAAATTCTCAGATAATCAGTTTCGAGTCCATTACTGTCTTTGAAACTCAGCACTTCATCATTTACATTAAACAAATCTGGACAAAGTGATGGGTTTAATGGACAGAGGCTAAAATGTTTAGATACAGAGCTGATTAGTGAATGGGAAACGGCCTCTGTCTGTGATTGATGAGCTTAGCATGAATGAATGAATCATGACAAGATCTTCAAGAAATGAACAGAGGTCTCTTATACTTACTGTAATTATAAGAGAAAATCCTGCTTATTTTATGCTTGGGGTCTTCTCCAGTTGACTTGATTTTAAAATCTATGTTCAGGCCAACACTCTGCAGGTCATTAAAAAGGTTGGACAAGTAAAACCATGTGCATAACATGACAAAGCCCAAAGTTTTTTGGTAATTTGTGTGAACTAGGATTCATCTGATCAGCCTTCAGATTTGTTTTGTAAGATTTTATATGTTGTAAGCATCAGCTACAAAGTTACTGTGTTTGCAAAATAAAGACTATTGTGACAATTATAATATGAATTATGATTTTTTTTTTTTTTTTAAATAAGAGATTTATTTATGTGATGCTGACACAGAACCCCAAAACCTGAGTGTGAGCAAGCAAGTAATCAACGAGCATTGTCAAAGTAGACTTTAAAATGTTGGTTTATTTCAGTGAGCAGAAGAACCTGTCACATTTCTGCCATAGATATTGTTCCAATGGTTGGTGCTCATGGTAAATGGACTGGCAATACCTGTAAGATAAATAATTTTTAACTCTGAATCATGCAAAGCCACTCCTGTAGAGCCTAAGAATAAAAATATGGAGGGGAAATGAACATAATGGGTCCTCTTTGACAATGTCATACGTGTAATTTGACTACATCGCTTTTTTAAAATGTTGCTTTCTTGTGAAAGAACCTGGCTCAATTCTTTTTGCCATTTGAAGCAAGAAATTGCTTAAAAAAAATCTGATATTTTATAAAAGAAGGTTGTCGGCTCCAGAGATACAGTTCATATTTTGAGGATAGAAAGTTCTGTACACAAACTGTTGAAGACAAGACGATGAGAAACAGTTTCATTCTTACAGAGACTCATGGGGCAGATAAACAGGTCTCTCAGGCACTGTCCAGATGTTGGATGTTTCAATGTTATCGGGTCCCATGTCGGGGATGGAGGCTTTAACAGCTTCACCACAGACAGGTTTGAAATAAATAAACACCTTTAATTCAGAGGACATTTTTTTGACTTTGAGAATTGGAATTTAAAAAAAAAAAACTTTGTACAACAATAATAAGCAAAAGTGATACTACATATAAATTTGGCCACAGCCCCCCTTCAAGGTTATCTCCTTTTGCACCACTGAACTGTTTACAGTGCTGCTTTCAGTTTGGGTCACTCTCTAGAAATCCTGTCCTGATCATTTTAAATCCCTTCTGTGTAAAACTAACCGTTGACTTTTGTGCCAAGGATCATTGCTTGTGAGAGTTGAGACCTGGGATACTTCGGGTCAGGAATGTGACCAGGAGCATTTGTGGGAGTGTTCATGAACAGAGGCAGATATGCCTCTACAAAATGTATTTAAACCTTGGTTAAAAATAAATTTGGGGGCTTGTCCAGGATCGGTACTTCTGGCCTACAACATGAATTTTTGTTGCTACCCAGCTCACAAAGCTAAAACATAAAATTGAGACTGACATCGGATCATTTAGAAATGTGAGTTTTTATTCAATTTCTAAATAATCTAAGTTTACACACAAAGAAATTTAAACACTGCAGCCAGGAGAGCATGACCTAGCAAGAAGAAGTGGTGGTGCATTAAACACCAACTAAGTCAGTTTATCAGGTCCATGGTTATCTGTTAAGGTCATACACCCCCAAAGGTTTGCACTGCGAAGCCAATAGGAGTTGCAGGGAGCACAACAGAGCAAGAGTATAGTAACCAAATTTAAACCAACTGGGGTTTTTTTTGGTTTTTTTAATGGGCGGGATTACATCATGTATAATGGGAGGATGGATGAAAGTATGCATAAATAAACAGGTTTGCCAATTCTTTGGCCAGAAAGTCCTCAAGTTTGACTTTAAATGGCTTCTGGAAGCTGTTTCACTGAAATGTCTCTTGCCACATTAGTTTCCACTTCCACCAGTGCTGGCATCTGAACAGTCAAATAGTTCTATTATGAACAATAATATTGCTTTGAACATTGTGAGAACAATTTGTAAAAATAACCGAATAACCTGAAAAAAAGAGGTAGAATGACAAGTACAATTCCTGGCTTCTATTTACCTGTACACCACCTAACTGATATCAGAAAAGTGTTGTTGGTGGTGGAAGTTTCCAGCAGCATCGCACCATCCAGCAGTTCATCCAGATAGAGTCTAGCTGTTATGGAAATTTCAGGTACTGTCTGCAGTATGTGTGATCAGGAACCTGTCACACATGTCACAAACACATGTTTGTAATTCTTCTCTTAAAACTTCTACAAGCTACTGTCATCACTTTTGGTGAATGCTGTCATCGCAGAACTCTGAGAACTTCTTTGCTGCCCTCCTGGCAAAGCCCATCTTCCCACGAGCCTTGGTCACAGCAGTGTACTCATGGGCCTTGAGCTTGGTGTAATAATCAGAGAACTTGTTGTAAAGGACGGAGATGGGCATGCCATTGAGAATGATGCCAAAGGAGATGCAGGCGAAAGCAAAGATACGTCCAAGGTTGGTCTCTGGGTACATGTCGCCATAGCCCACTGTGGAAATACTCGCCTGAGGGGTGAAAGAGACAATAACTATAAAGACGCAAAGGTAGACACAGAGATTGAATGATCTTAGGTAGGATTTACTGAAACATGTCTTTCTTTTTTGTCCCACCACACAAACACTTACTTGTATACATTGTTATGTTTTATGTAAAACACTGGTTCTAAAATGAAGTGTAAGATCTTCATTTTGTGTACGTTGAATCAGTGGATATGAGTTAAAAGTCATAAATAGGGGTTTCATATCCAGAAACACAGACATTAATAGATGCCAAGAGGCAAAAGTACATTTACTGTTACACCTTGCTTGTCTTAATTGGCAAAGATTCAACAAGTTGCTGGAAACATTCCTCAGAGATTTTGGTCCATATTAACATGATAGCATTAGATTTGTTGGACTTACATCCCTGATGCAACTCTCCTGTTCCAACACTTATTTGCATTAATGAGCAGTTGAGCAAGTGTACTTAACAAAAATTGTTGGTGTAATTGTGTGTCGACTCACAGCAGCCCACCACCATGCGTGTGGCATGGAGGTGAAGTTGGTGTTGTAGCTATCGTGCTCCACTGTGTACACCATGGCTGAAAACATGAAGATTCCCATGCCGATAAAGAGCAGCAAACATCCCACCTGGACAGATATTTTAGAGCAATTTCAGCATTTAGTTAAACACTTTCTTCATATTTCTCTCAACCTGCAGATAAACCCTGACCTGCTGGTAGCACTGTCTTAGCGTGAAGCCAAAGGCTCTGAGGCCCGTTGAGTGACGAGCCAACTTCAAGATCCTGAAGATTCTCATCAGACGCATGATCCTCAGAACCTGCCCAACCTACAGAGAGGGAAAAAAACACTACTAAACATGGATAAGACCACCATATTTAAAGTTTAACAACAACAACTCTCCCGTATTTTCTTTACCTTCCCGACACGTGCTACTGTCTCAATGTCTCCAGAGTGCACGTGGATGTCCTTGTCTTCAAAGCATTCCAAGATCATCTGCAAGTAGTGTGGCAGGATAGCGATCAGATCAACTGTGTTCAGCATGCTGCGTCCAAAACATTTCAGGTCAGGGGTGGAGATCAGGCGCAGCAGGTACTCCAGGGTGAAAAAGGTGATGCATAACGTCTCGACGTACTCGCCGTAGAACCTGCCACTGGGCTCACCTGATGGTGTCTAGAACACAGAATATAAAGATACAGCTTCTGTTCTGAAACAATAAAGGATCAGTCATGGTTTTAGTGTTATAGACACCTTGTACTGCATCTCCTCCACGGTGTTGAGGGTCATGGCGACCAGCGACACCAGCACAAACATGGAGGATGCGACTGCCACAAGCTTGGCTGTGATCGAGGAGAATGGCATCTCCATTAGGTTCCAGATTTTCCTCCGGGTCTGCCCAAAGGCCATGCCGTTAAATAACACCTCATTCTCCTCTGTTTCTACCTGCAGGATGGAAATGCATCAGCAACAGGATACAAACAGCATTTTTTGTTTGCTTTTTAGAGGGGAGTCAAACTTGATGCTCACTAGAAACAACCAGAAAAATAGGCAGTATAAAAACATCTTATTTTTCATTGAGGATAAAACTAGACAAATGAAATGTCAAGACAAGTCACCAAACTGAAACGCGCTTGAATTAAACTAAAAAACGGGCACAGCAAACTGTAATGGAAACATCTGTATAAATCTGTGCCAAGGAAAAGCTTATTCTCTTCTCCCCATCTGTCAAGACAGCAGAGCAGAGCGCTGATTTATAATGTAGGTCAAACAGACTCAGAGTCAGCCAGCAGATTACTGCCAAATCAGAGTTAAAAAAATAACTGCTGAACCAATGAGGCAGCAGTAGGTGATGAACCCGTGACATTTTATTTTGCAGCACTGTTAAACATATGGAGTCGAACCGGTGGTAAAATAAATAAAGTCACTGATTACAAACTGCCTCCTGTGTCCTGTGGATTATCCACTTCTTACGGAGAAGGGAAAGTTACTGTTTTCTAGGCTGTGAGGGCTGCAAATAAAAATCCATGGCCATGTATATGTGTGTGTGTGTTACATTTGAAGACGGAAATCCCAAAAGGGTCACAAGATAAACATGAGGGATCCTGACATGAGATCTTGCACTTATTTTTCAGACCTTTTATAAAACGCAGCACATAAAAGATACGTTTCCTATTTGGTCCTCTAACATTTAGCATCCATGAAAAAAGCCCCACCCACCTGTAATTCAAAATATTTATTTATGAGGGTCAGCCAATTAGAAGAAAACTGGTTTAAAGAAAAGAGACAGGGAGCTATAAAGGTTGTTTCAGACAGATGGTGAACTGAGCGCCTGCACTACCGTGTGGTATAAGATAAATACTGTGAACTGTGAATCATGCAAAGGTTTTTTAAGTCTGTTCAACTGAGGTGAACTTGAGCACAATAATGTAAATGTTTATTTATTACACACAATTTAAGTAAAAATGCACAAAAAGTGTGACATTACTCACCAGATCGCCCATCTCTGTAATCAGCTGCTTCTGTATTTTCAGCTGCTCGTTCAGCTCGTCCTGCCTCTCTTCAAAGGAGATCCGGCAGCAGCGCTGGCTGTTTTTGATTCTGACCCCCCAGTAGTTTATCTCCTCCAGGAAGTTTCGGGGACACAGCTCGTCTTTAATCCACAACACTCCAGTTCTGACAGAGAGGAAAGAGACGGGAAAACAGCATCCATGATCATTCCAAGATATCACAAAGGAGATTAAAGTGTCCCTGTGTTGACTTATAACCTCACGTGTTTTATGTCACCTGTAGAAATTAAAGATGTTGTGGAAAATTGTTGGGTCGCGGTCAAAGAAGAACTCGTTGCGCTGGACGACGTAGTCATCACAGAGGTCCAGCTTCCTGCTGTGGTCTGTGTATGTGGCCAAGCGACCGATCCGAGTCTTCGGATACCTGGCGGCTAACCTGTAAGGCAGGTGATACACCTGAGAAATAAAAAGAGAATTAGTCTCTTCTCTTTTGCACAGACATTTGAAAAAACATAGAAAAATTTTCATTACAATTACAAAATGCTAATATCACAAAAAATATGCAATGTACAAAACCAGTTTAAAAAATCTAGTTTTTATTCATTGCTCACAACTAGCGCAATTGTAAAACTTATAGTAGCTTTGTTTGGTGGCCTGTAGGTGGCGATATTTGCAGCTCTTCAACTTTCCAACCAAATTTTCTCTGGTGAACACTTACAGGGAGTCCCATCCCCACAGACTTCCACATAAAAAATGCCAAATGTTACAACATTATAAAGCATGTTTATCATTTGGTACAAAAGATCATTTTTCTCTTCCTCCCTTCTGTGAGAGTCAATTTTTTTCTGTAATTCATCCATCTGAATAGTAGCAATATGCTACGACTCATCTTTACCAAACTAGACTTGCATGTAGAGATCATCTAAGCAGGCTATGGCGTTGTTCTAGTCAATAAAAATCTAGTATTTTATTTGTCTGATGTTCTACTGTGTGCTGTAATCTGCTGATAACACAGCACTCCACTGGTGGCCCAAAGACTAAGGATGAGACTTCAAAATGCAGATTTGAAAACCAGTGGATGATATCATGGGGGCTACATCCATCTTTTATATGCAGTCTTTGGTTTTAACACTCTCTGATGACTGCGAGCTTTGGGTAGTTACTGGAAAAAGTCAGAGTGAACTCAGAGGAGACCTCCTGAATCTGTAAGTTTCTATGGGATTGGATCAGAACCACTGATTCCACGGGTTCAGCAGTAACATCTGAGCAAGACGGCTGTGACAGATATGCAGCTCACAGTCTGATAATGATGTATGAGTGCCACCTCTGCTGCTTGTTAATAAGTGTCAGGTTCAGTCCTAACAGTAAAATAAAAATATTAGCAGTTATGCAAAAGTTAAGCAGAGTTACCGTTCCTCCAACATTGATGTTGAGAATGAAGTGTTTGGTTGGAGAATTCAGCAAGCGGGAGGGAGACACTGGCAATCGATCTTCCACCTCCTCGTTTTCATACTCAGCATAAATATCGTAGATGTCTCTGCCAAGGTCCTTCAAAATATAACAAAACACAAAATGAACAGAAAAACTGAAAAATATCAGCTTAGATATGATCGTAGTAAAATAGATTTGTTTTTGCTCATCACAGTTCCAATTAGGTGAATGCTACTCTACACCAAACCTGGTGTAGAGTAGCACCTGTTGTGTAATTTTTACCTTATTGGTTGCCGTGACAGATCACTTTCCAAACTTATGAGAAAAATAAGTGGCATGGTGGTTCACTAAATAGCATTTCTGCCTCACATCATAGCAAGAAGGTCCCCAGTTCACCTGGTCATCTACAGTCTTCTGCGTGGAGTTTGCTTTGAGTACTTCAGCAAATTTAAATAGCAGATTCTGAACTGGCCGTGGATTTGAGGAAAACACAGTGCTTAAGGCAGATGGAATACCAAGTCCAATTCCACTTCCTGCTTGGCATCCTTGCCAAAGATTTCACTGAAGAGCTCCACATCTGTATATTTAAGTTCCAGTTTTACTTTAATGTTGCTGTTGATTTGTTGCTTATAGTAGCCTGTACTATTTTTATTCATTACCGTTCTGCTGTGAGACGGCAAGTTCCCCTGTGGCATCAATAAAGTACCCATTTACCTCTCCATATCTATGCATCCATGAATCCTACTTTATCTTATATTTGAGAGTCTTAGCTTGAGCACTAGAATGTGGTTCAATGCTGAAAAAACACAACAGCCGTAAAACCATGGAAGCTGTCTCAGCCTCACTGAACTTGTTGAATCTGAACAAAACATAACCAAAATCCAAAGGTATAGCTCAAATCTGTTTTTTAAAAATAGCTCCATCAAATCAAACAAATCCCAAATGGACCGAGTGACTGACCTGCATGGAGTTCCATGGTTTAATGAAGGCGCTGATCAAGTCCAGGTGTTCCACCGTTTCTTTGACCTCTTGAGTCCGGCTGCCGGGCTTGTAGCTGGAGAATAAACTCCTGCTTCGAGCTCTGAGGTGGTTAAACATGATCGCTGCTTTAAGTGTTAAATGTAAACTGCACAGAGACACGTCGCAGTCACAGACACATTCAGTAATAAAGAAATCATACTGTTCACACACATGCACACAGCTGACAGAGAGATATCACACGCAGAGTGATGAGGGAAGTGATTCTCCTTGCCTAATGCTGCTGACTGAGATGATCCGGGTGCTTAAAGTTTTAAATACTATTATCCTCTTCTGTCCATCTCCTGATCTCTCAAGCTCTCCCTCTCCTCCCACTTTCACATAAGTTTCACATAAGTTTACAAATCTGGTAAATTAGGGTCATAAATGTGATCATTTTAATACTATTCTAAGATGTCAGTCCACTGCTTTGTACAAGACAGTATTTGAAAACTCTTAATTTACAACAGCATCTGAAACGTAATGATACAGAGCAGCTATAAAATGCAGTTCTGACATTCATTGCCAACAGATAGCATAAGAAAAAAGTAGAGTAGCAATTTCTTTGTAGGTGACTGTAGGTGTCAAAATCTCTGTACCCTACAGAACACATGCAGATCTAAAGTTCTGTCATTGTTATACTTCACTACACATGGACATTGATCTGGTCCGTAAAGTAGCTGAGGGGATTGTTGATCAGTTTCATCTGCTTTGGTGTACATTTTAGTACAATGACACTACTGTTAGCGATACCTGGACCTTACAGTGTTTCCAGAGGGAGCCCAATTCCTCCAGGCTGGCACATCAATACATGCCATTGCCAGAAGGTTTGCCGTTTCCTCCAGCACAGTCTCATAACCATGGAGGAGATTCCAGGTAATAGGCAGTTACTGTAACAGAGCTGGGCAGGCCTGTAGAAGGTACTTTAGCAGGACCAGTATCTGCTCCTTTGTGCAAGGAGCACAGTTGCATAATGACCTCCAGCAGGCCACTGGTGTGAACATCTGACCAAGCAATCAGAAGACAGCTTCCAGAGGTTGATCTGAGGGCCCAACATCCTTTAGTAAGCTCTGTGCTCACTACACCGTGGAGTCCGACTTAGATTTGCCATAGAAGACCAAAACTGTTAGATCTGCCACTAGTGGGACGATGTAGGAAAACCACTGACTGGCCCCAAACTCCCCTGTGTTAAATCCAATAGAACACCTCGGGGACATTATGTTTCAGTCTAAATCTGGGAGATGATTCCCTTAGACTTCATTCACTGTGTCATTAGGAGATTTCTCCAACATTGACAGACACACATACAAGCACGTGGTGGGACAAACAGAGTACCAATGCTGCTAGGCTGCACCTCCGTTCATCCCTGGTCCCGACCTGGGATTTTTTTTTTTCCCCCACTCAGATCAGATTTTTTGTGTTCTTACAGTCTTTCTTAAAATGTTCCTTTAAGGTTTTTTTTGAATAGCATAGTTTATGATAGAAACTTGTGAGCTAGTAACTCGGCACATCGTCTTGTCCAAATATGGTAATTTCTGGCTCATCAAAAATTGTCAATATCAATGATTTGACATAATGTTGCAGCATCTTTGTCCATCTTTTATGCAGTACATGGTTTGAAGCCTCACTTCACTGAAAAATGTATTTTGAGGCTTGGAGGGGAACCGAGCCGGTTGAGTCGCTCCTTTGAATCAACTGCCATGAATCGGGCATCTGATCATTTGAGGGTTTCCAGCTTGCAAGAGATCCAGAAGACACTCAAGGATCCTCCACAGTATGGAAAAACTAAATTAACCCTCCTGTTATGTTGGTTTCCAGGAACACCAATTATGCTCCTGGGTTAATTTGACCCAGGGCAAATTTACTCATCCAAAAGTGTCAGAAACACTGGCATTGATGACTTTGTGATTTTCTTTTATAAGTTTGATTTTTTTGTTGTTTTCTGTAGTGATGCAGATGACATGTGACATCTCTCCTGTTCCGCAACAAAACAGCAGGGTTAACCTGCTGTCACCTTGAGCCAACTGTGGATGAACAGATTGATTTTATGTAGTAAATATTAGTTTGTTTTCTAAAAAAATAAATAAATAAAAAAATAAAAAAAATAAAAAATGGAAAGCAAGGCATCTACTGTTCCCAGCAGTCAAATAAAAGACATTTTTGGTTTTAAGACATAAAGTTTGGATATTTCAGTTGATACGATCTTGGGAAAGTATTTCCCCGTTGTTCAGAGCGCTCCTTAAATGCATCACAACAAACCTCGATTTTCAAATATCTGATGTAGCCTTCCTTCAGATGCAACAGACTTTCGCATTTTAAATCTGTGCCTTAATCCAAGTGTGTGCGTTTGATGCAGTTGCTGCAATTATAACTCAAGTTAGGTGGAGATTAATCCTTCCTGCAGTTAAACAGGGATAATAAAAAGATGGAGGCAAACTCAGTTTCTCGACCCACTTCCCTTTACATACACGCATCCTCATGTTTGCCCCTGATCTGACTGAGGGTAGATTAAACTGTGCTGGAAGCAGAGGAGGAGAGTTTAAGTCATTACATACAGAGTCAGTCCTGCTTGTGCAGGGGAAGTCCTTAGACTTAGATGAAAGTTGTTCTGTTACTTGTTCCACTCGGTCTATGGGGAGGTGCGCACGCACATGCATTAACATTTTTAGTTCTCTTGCACCCAAATTTACCTTTATAATTTGCTTTGAGCATGAGAACTACATATTTTTGGAGTTATGCTTTCAGTAAATACACTGCAACTTTAAACAACCCCCCCCCCCAAAAAAAAAAACAAAACAAAAAAAACCCCAAAATGCACTAAATCTCTGGCATATCCATCTGGCCAGTTTAGTCAGAGTTGGTTAATTAGCTGGTTTTGTTTTAATGAAGGTGCACTACAAGGGCAACGATGAGACAACCCCTAAAACAGGAATAGCTTTACAGGTGGAGGCCAATCACATATTTCCCCCTCATCTGTGTGTGTAGGTTTGTGTTTTTTTTTTCCTCGAGGGAGTTTTGCATTTGCTCAGGTCAGTGTCACTACTGGAAGCACGAGGCTTTACATGGACCCTAAAGAGGTTGTGCAAGCAGTCCAATCCTCCAGGATGGCACATCAGTGTGTGCCATTGTCAGGTTTGCTCTCCCACCCCTTACAGATTTAAGGGCACGGAGAAAATTCCAAGAGAGCTGGGCAGAGGCAATGTTTCTGCTCCTTTGTGCATGGAGGAACAGGATGAGCACAGCAAAATGACCTTCAGCTGGGCACTGCAGAGAATGTCTGAACAAACTGACTTCATGAGGGTCGCCTGAGGGCCCAAAATCCTCTAATGGGCCTACTGTTCAGTGCCTGGGATTTGCCATAGCATAACAGAACTCGCACACATAACTGATCTTGTGCTTTTCACAGATGTGCTCGTGGCAAACCAGCTCTCATGTGAATGACGTCTGGAGAGACCATGGAAACATTGCTTTGCACCACCTGTTTTGGTAGGTCTGTGATTGTCTGGAATACCCATGCAGGGACGTACAGATCTTTACAACACCACAACTGCAATCAAGTATTGGGATGAAATCCTTTGACCCATCATCCGACCCAATGCTGATGCAGTGGGTCCTAAGCTCCAGGTTCCTGCAGGTGCACAACATTGCCCAGCATCATGCAGATATAGTATGGCTGTAATGGTTAACCAATGACTGTTTTCTACAGTCATTGTTAACAGACAAAGTTACAACTACTGTTGTAATATCAGTCATGTACAAGTGGGATTTTAGCATTTGTCAAATCAGCAAACGTAATGTTGTACTTTCTTTGTAGAATAATCAGCTCTGCTGAGTGAAATTCTGGTATTTTGCCTGCAACCTACCACCTATAGTTTTCTTGATAACCAAGATTTGACAAAAGAAAAAATTTGTACAGCTCAGGAACAGGCTTTAAAACAGTCCACAAATCAGTGGGTGAGGTCAGAGGCCATGTATCACAAAACATTTATGCATGACAAAAAAAACAAAGAACAAGATTTTCTGAGCAAAGTTGTGGATTAAATTTTAATTCCGAAGTGATTCGCAGATCAGTTTCTTCACAGATACAGAGTCTTCCCATTTTATTGGTGTCCCCCCTTCTTTGTACAAGGCTAGAAAAAGTTCACAGCAACAGCACAAACATACAAAATAGTTTTACCAAATTCATTGTGTTTTGTTTTTTCCTTCTTAAATACATCTGAGCCGCTGGTATGACGCCCAACCATAGCAAAAAACTGATCAAGTCAAATGTATACAATCTTATTTACACAAGGAGCATTTGATCAAAGTGCATTGAAGAGTCCTGATTGACGATCATGTCCAAAGGATGGGCAAATATGTACAGTGTTTACAAAAGCTGTAACCATGGTTATTTCACAAGCATCATAATAATAATAATAATAATAATAATAATAATAATAATAATGTAAGAATGCATTCTAAGAGGTGGTGATGGCAAGAAAACACTTAAATTAATGAAAGAAAACTTAGATTTGAGATATTACTGCCCAAACATGATCGTACATAAATATTCACATCTGAGGAAGCAACAAAATCTGGACCGCATCCTCTCCTCATTAAAGCCTTACTTCTAAAGGACCCTTGACCCCTCGTGTTTTGTGCAGTCTTCAAACATTCACCGTGTCAGATTCTGGGAGCCCAGATGAGGAGGAGATCAAACTGACAATTCATCCCTTTCAACTGTTGCGACACGATGCCAGCAAGCTTCTTAAAGAGGGCGGGACAAAGAAATGACTGGAAAATGTCTGTGGCCCAAAAATAACGGAAAAAAAAAAGAAAAAAGAAATCCTTACAACTTTGGATGTGGAATGAAACCAGTCGGGACAGAATTCATTGCAATATTTACATAATAAATAACATTTCCTCTTCACCACACACAGTGGTCTAATGTACTTCAGAAGGCATGTGGTCGTACTATAAGGTCTGCTGCTGCTGCTACGGTCAAGCGTCGGCACTGGAACGAGGCGGCGCGGTGTGACCGTGAAAAAATAAAAAAGACCCAACACGATCAGGATAAATCATCCTCTGTGCTCACTATCGAAATCTGGAGGAAGATGAAGGGAGGGGGAGGAGAGAGGAAGACCGGTTTAGAAATGCTCACAACAACAGCACTTTAAAGGCTCGTTCACTCCAAGCTGCACCGTCTGCTGCATTCATGAAGTAAGACAGTGTGCTGGTTTAAAGGGAAGGCGTGTGCTGCAGGTATTGAACTCATGTTGCCTTTTGAAACGTCTGCTGCAGCTGTGAGGGCGACAGCAGAGGCTCGTGTCCATCTTGTGGCCCTGGCCGGGCTTAGGTTAATCCGTTTAATCTGTATACATGCTTTGCAGACGGCCAACAATGAACATTAAGGATTACTACAGGCCACAAGGTCATGGTGAGAGTGGAGGTCATTAACATGCAGGCTCCATCTTCCGAAGCCTCGCTGGAATCATTTAAGCTGCTCAGAAACTGCAGCTCGTGGTTATTTTCACCTTTGCTGAGGAGGTTACGTGACTGGTTCAGTTCATTTGTTGGGAGGATTACACAAAACGCTGGCGAGGTGTATGAGGGGGTAAAAAAAAAAACAGACAGGCATTGTTAAGGACAACTTACAAGGACTCTTTACCAGTCCTTTACCACTGCCCACGCCTGGTTACCTACTGACTGAATGCATGTACAGTGATGGTATTGTTTGCATAAATAAGCAGCTGCATGTTTTAGTTACTCTGGTGATTGAGGCCATGGTTTATTTACAGCGCCAATAGTTTATGAGTAAATTGAGCTAACATTTTGTAAGTGATTGCTCACAACCTAAGGTGACAGGTGCACAGAGTTACTCCTGGGTTGTTTTTATTTGCTTAGAATCGTTTATTATTTCGATGCCTTGCACACCAACATGTGAATCAAAGCTCCGTCATTTAAACTGTTCCTGCAGCTCAGACCTTTACAAAGTTTCACCAACAAAATGTCTCAAGCTGAAATTTCCAAATTCCCAGTCTAAATTTTCATCTGGAACGAACTGTTAATCACTACCCTGAGTTAACGTTGTTCGTGGATTCTTCACTCACCGCGGGGTACGTGTGTCCTACATTGGCGCCGTGCCTCGTGATGTCAATGTTGAGGTCTTCTTCTGTGGTCTTCAGGTAGACTGGGTTGTCAAAGTTCATGCTCTTCTGGTTCTTCAGCTGCCAGTTCCTCCACATCAGGTAGCCGCCTGCTGCCGCCATCGCCAGTAGCACTGAGAGGAGAGACGAACAGTCAGGAGTCAAATCAACTCCCCCCCCAAAAAGTGCCAAGGATCTGAAATGAGGATTTTAATTAGTTTGCGCAAGTGTGTGGGCAGCATCTACTCACAGACGGGTAGTATGGCCCAGGCAGCAGCAGAACCTCTGGCTGTCGAATTCACTTGAATTGATGTGCTCACATTGGCTTCTGAAAGACAAAACAAGGCACATGCCAACAGCCAACAAGTTTAAAAACATTTCCTTAGACTTTGACTACCAGTTCGGTTTCCAATCAAGAAGCAGAATAAAGTGAAAATCCAAAATCATTTTGGCAACTGGTTTTTAATCTTTTAAAGAAAACAGCATCTGATGAGTCTTTCATTTCCCCAGTCTACTTTACCCAGTGTGTTCTTGTATCAGTGTCAAGTGAGGGCGGAAAAGCTTGGCTGAACGCAGTAACAGACCTCAGAAGAGAAAGTTGGATTTGCTCGTACTACCAGCTGGCCCCCTTTGTGAAACTATTAAATTCTTGCAACATGTCAACATTTTGGTTCAGAGTAAAATATTAAACTTCTGGCCTCATCCTTTCAATGAATTCATACCTTACCCTTCAAATAGCGTAAACCATCATTTTGGAGTGCTGACCGCATATGTGACAAAATCAATAGAGGTAATCAAAGTTCAATCTGTCCAAATCTTTGGTTTGATTTATTAAAGCTAGAACATCCTTAGCTTCACTTTGTTTACCAAATATCAGCTCCAATCATTATGCTGCAATAAATGTCTTGTCTACCAAATCAAAGCGAAACACACAGTCAAACAGTCTTTGTGTTCGAGAAGATTTCAGTCTGAGATCCAGGTTCGCTTGGATAAAGAGACTTTAGGGCATTTTGTTTAGCTTTTGTGGACAAAGTTATAAGCTCAGACTCCTCTTGTTCCATGTGGGACAGTTTTTTATAAATAGAATAATGGCTTAAATTCAAACAAAACTGTCAAGTTCTAAAATTCACCAGCATACATGGTTTTTAGTTTCTATAACGTGTCAAAAAACCCGTCAGGAGTAAAGTAGAAGCTCTTTAACTGCTTATTACAGTTTAAATAAAGCATTTCCATCAGCAGAAGAAAGTGTTTGGAGCTGCGTCAAACTAAACTACAGCCTGTGTCTTTATGGTAATGAAGGATATCAGAACAATGCAACAGTGTTTTGCAGCAACAATGGAGCTCAGTGACAGAGGAAGAGGATATAGCAGGCTTTGGATACTTGGGCATGATTTCATAGGAGGATTAATTCATTGTTCTGTCGTTTGTTGATAGTCTATTTTTCTTTCTTTGATTTTTGACATCCTGCAACACCTCATCTAAAAACAGGACATTAAGATGTTCAGGACTGCAAGACTTCTTTAACTCTTGGTGTAAGCACAAATGTTATGCTCTCCCAAGAAAGCTGAGATCAGTTTGAAAAGCAGCGTTGGGGAAGGAGGGGGTTACAGTCTGAGAATTGCTGATTCTTGCTTCTCTTGCACGACTTCATTTCTTGATGATGCCTGAAGGATTTGTGCTACAATCCCTTTGTGTTGCAGTAATATAACAGTCACGTCTTAATTACCAGATTATGCCAAACTTTAAATGGGAAAGTGATTCTAGTGATGAAGCTTCCTTGTTCCTGCCACTAGGTGTTGCTCATGTGCTGTGCTCTTAATAGTGTAATGAACTGTGGTTTAATCAGCTGAAACAGAGGCAAACAACAGCTTTTACCTCTAAGTACAGCATAAAAAACCCTCCATGGTCAAATTGCCTATATGAGATTCATGAGAACAAACTCCACTTTAGAAACGGGGGAGGATCTCATCAGCAGACCTCGTGTTTCTGATTAGGGTTGCTGTATGCATTTTTAGCATTTTACAGAGGATTAGAACAAAGTTCCTAAAGTTGTTTATGCAGTAATCACATTTTAGACCTTGTGAGTCTGATATGTTTGACACATGGCCGACAATTCACACATCCAACATGAGATGCCCGCTTTGTTTCCAACAAATGTTAAACATGCAACAAGAGACCTGAGAGGACTTCCTCACACACAGTCCTACATTACATTTATCTGCACAAAACAATGAACCCGAGATAAGAAGAAAAGCACATTTATGCAGCTGAGATTTAACAAAATTCTCAGCTCCTCAGGTTAAATTAAATTTTAACCTGAGGAGTGAAATAAATGAAATCTAGATAACATGACCTGAAAATCAAATTTAACAGCACAGGAGACGAAAGTGAACCAAAGTTGGAAGTAATCCTAGTTTTTGTTTTTTAATTAATAAACTAATAGATTCTTTGTCCCTTTGGATGAAATATTCGTTTTTTCTGTGCAAAATGTATAGTACTCAAATATATTTAGAGATTTATATCAGCTCATTAATGTACATGCGCAGATATTCTCAGACTAAGATTTCATCAGGTCAAGAGCGACTCGTCTAGAGTTACTGTGTCGTTTTGGCTACAGGTTACATCTGAGAGTTCAAAGTAGGCATTCTGTTAAGGAGCTTATTGACCTGCTGGATGTTGAGAGGGTGAGCAAATATTTTGTGGCCCAGGCATTTTCATATTTTGTTAAATACGTGTATACACAGAGCAGACTGTCCCTAGATTTGGGTTCCATAATTTATATTTTGGACAAAGCCAAGATGAGTTCCCATCATTTTCTGTGGGCAGCAATAAGGTGAACACTAGAGGAATGGACTCTAAAATCACTGAGCACAAATACCGCTGTACAGAGACACTGATGCAACAACTGCCCGTTACACTGCAGTTATGTGTCTGCAATTCTAATTCCTGCAAGCTTATCAACCAAGTGCGTTACAGTAATCGAAGGCCAATTAATCACATTTGAGAACTTACAGATTCATGGAACATTAATGGCCATCCTCTTTGCCTGTACCCGCATGAAAAGATGAATAAAAATACTTGAGAAAAAAAAATCCTGATTGATGTCATAATTCATGCATGACAGGGTTAGATAATTACAATGACACACGTCACACATCTATAGTAAAATTAAACGACCAGTGGGTGGCAGCGTATGGAGTGAGACATCAGTGTCCAATGTAGTGGTTTATGTGCAGGCATATCATCAGCACTGATACCAATACAAGAAAACAGCCTTTGAATAGCTGTCCACTGTAGTGACCACTATGCCTGAAAGGGTTAATATTGACACTTGCAGGCTACTTGACTACCTGAAATCAGCCCACTGTGTTAGATTAAAAAACAAAAAAAAAAAAAAAAAAAAAAAAACAAAAAAAAAAAAACACAAACACCGCATCTGCAGCACAAACAAACACAAAAACAAAAGCACAAGCTAGCATAACAGACGTGAAAAAATAAAAAGAGCAAGCCCCAAGCGGTTAAAAATCTCCACAGCACCATGGACACAAGAAACCTTTAATTTTGGCTTTAATCAAACAAAAAGCTGATTAAATGAGTAGGTTGGGGGAAGGATGGGCTGTACCCAAAAACATTTAAGTCAGATGTTCCCCAGTTAACAATTCAAATGAAAATGCCTCCTTGATCCATGGTGAGGGAGGAGAAAAGCCCGTTTTTGTTTTTTGGAATTCATTTTTGAACCAAGCACAACATTCTTTAAAGCGAGCCAGAGACAAACGCAGCGCAGCCAACAGTTTTACCTGAGGGTGGCTGTATTAGACCTTTCCCAGCATCCTTTGAAGGACCTTTGAAAGTAGGGTCTGTACAGAGAGAGCCAAGAATCATGCTTCACACACAACTTAACAGAGGGTGTCCTATTTTTAAATAAAAAAAAATAAAAAAATAAAACCCAAGCAGCACACATGCAAGTAGGCCTTCTTTGAATATAGACCAGATCTCAGGAGACTAAGCTAGTAAATAAATGCTCTGAAGCACTGATCCATTTTTGTTCAGTGAGAGGAAAGCCAAGCCAAGTAGAGAACCATCACAACAGCAGCAATGTCACATCTTTAGCATTACCCTTGTGGTTCTCCTGCTTAGATATGACGAATGCTGGACAAGTGAGAGGACGACTCAAAGGCAATTTCACAGATTCAAAGCTGCAGCGCACTATATAAAAAAAAAAAAAAGCATCAATCAGGACGTCTCTACCAGCATCTGTACAACCAGGAAGGACAGCTACAGCAACAATAAAACCTTTATAGCTGGATCAATATGATCTTGATTAGCAGAGGCAGCAGTGTTAGGATGTCTCAGGGCTTGAAATGAACAAGTCAGACTGAAAAAGCAATATTAACACAGTCAAGACCAAACTAAAGCAGTTTCCAAAACCTTTATCTACCACAAACACACTTTCAGATCAAATCACTCATAAAACTTGCAAAGATTAAAATTGGAATTGAACTGCAGTAACTTTGCGTGAGGGCCATTAATTCTTTTGTTTGCAATTATATTGACTCAGACGGCACAATATTTTTGGCCGTTATGATGCGACTGTCAGGTCGAAACTTCCCTTTTTCATAACAGACCACTTTTTCTATGACACTTGTCATATGTCATGAAGAAGGTGGGGCTAGCTGGATGGCTATAAGCCGTCAATGGGGAAACAAAAGCAAATGTATAATTGGGAAGCAAAATGTACACAGCTCTGGTTTTACATCATTAGGCTCAAATGCAGTCATTTTAGAAAAAAAAAACTCAGATTGCCATCATGAAAAACCTGCTACATACGTAACCCTGACCATTGACAGGTTGATCAAAGTCTCAGGTATGTTATACAAGCATCAGCTAACATAACCCCGAGCATAGCCTTAAGTAGAGATAAGCAATGTGCTACATGTGTCTGGTAAGCTCACCTTTTTCTTTCCAACACCAAATATCTCCTTTCCAAAACTACATCTCCAGACCCTAGAAAGGTTTTACACTCCAACATGTCAGTATGTCCCCAAACTCACACACAAAAAAAAGACAAAGCAAGCACCTGCAAACTAAGGCTCATCTTTGAGGCTTTGGTTCAACTTTACTTTTTGGGCAAACAGGAAAAGCCAGGAGCAAGCTTTCAGCCTTCGAATCTGCAGAAGGGTAAAGCACGTGTTTGCCACACTCCTTTGACTTTAATCCAATAATCAGTAAATTCCAAATGCAATGAAAACTTATGTGATAAAAGGCAAGGACATTTAGGAGTCTGTAAAACAGTGGTCTCAGTATGCATTTTGCTTAATATAAACAGCC